TGTTTTTTATTCTTTTATCCTTATATATATAAACATTATTTTTATCCTTTTTATTTTATCATTTTTAGGTATATTCATCTCGTTTTTATATTATCTTTTTTATAATAACTTATTTTTTATCTTTATTTTCTTTCTTTTCCTTTTTTTGGTGTTATCATGTATCGATTCATGTTAGCTGACCTCAATATCTTTTGGAACTAAGGCTTGGATGTTGTTGTTGTATTAAGCCCATAAGTCCAGGTCTCTATTAGATTCAAAGGGTTCAATCAGAGCTGGTTGGTTGGGAAGTATCCTTACAATTCACTTCTAAGAACTCTCTGACTGAACTATATAATGCACAAACTATTCTGGCTGTTAATTGCGGTGAATCTCCTATCATCTTTGGAAACAGCACACTGATTAGTGATGCTGACAGAGCAATTACGAAGGACTATGCTACTGGTGAAAAGAATGGAAACTTACAGAGGCGCAGCTACTGGTTGCTTGAAGAGGAGCAGTCAAACAATGTTCTAGTGCGTTCCAGGGAAGTAAAGGGTAGCAGGGGTACTTTAGACGTACACGAGAACTTCAATTAGTTATTCCCTCTTTTCCAGATGGTGAAGAAGACGTGAACAGCTCTCAAGTGGGCACTACACTTTCTTCAAAACCCCAACAATATGATTACCAAGCAACACCACATGTTACAGATACGGCTAGCCTTAACAGTGCTCAAGCCTCAGATTATGAAGAAGCTAAGACAGCAGTGCACAATCAACTATCAACTTCTGGGATGCATTCTTTTACTGAGTTTCTAGCAATCATTAACCCCAAGGGTGAAGATGAACTTTCTGCTCCTTATTATCCCAGCTACATCTCAAATGCTCATAAAGGCCATTTTCCAGGTGTTTCTGAAAAGATTACTGCAACTAATGGATATGTACCATTTCCAAATTCACTTTCCACATCTCAGTCAGTTGCAATAAGCAAGATGAATGGGCAAGTGAATGCTATGATTGGTTTCACAAAGGCCCTAGAAGAATGGGGGGGGGGGGCACCTAAGGGTGAATCAGTCAAACTATCAAAGTGGTTTGTGGATCCGAAGGCTGAACAGAACCCAGGTAATGATCTGAATGTATCAAAAGGTGAGGGTTGGGAGCTGATAGTGGTTCACGGGATTGGTGGCAGAATAATATCATTGGAGCATCTTCCTACTGGAACTCAGTATATAGTGGATTTGGGTATAGATCTGCTGGTAGTGATTTGGGTATAGGATGCAGCATATAGTGGATTTGGGTATAGATCTGCTGGATGCATGGAAGAGTATGATGTCATTGAAAAGGATCAAGAGCATGCAGGAGGAGTCAAATCTTGTGCATTACAAGGAAATAAGGAAGTTTTGGTTCAATGGAGACAACTATCAGATTTGGAAGATTTTTGTGAAAGTTTCAGCAAATGCCAGGAGGAATGGATGACAAAGGTTCAAGTACTGAAGCTAAAGGCACTGAAATCGGTGAGGTACTGGGAAGGAAGGGGGCGCGAGGATGAAGCTGGATGGCATGACTGATCTTACTCCCCACCTTGAGGACAAGGTGGTTGTCAAAGGAGGGAGTGATGATAGAGACCTTTGGAGTTATGGGCTTACTATTTTAATAAAATGTAATAGTGGGCTGGGCCAAGTAATTAGATAGATTGAAGGAAGCCTCGTTTGGAAAAGAATAAACAGAAGGAATAGAGCAGGGAGAGGGTAGGCTGGAATTCAGTTGGAATTAGGCTTGGGAGAGTGAGACCTCTCGAAGAGTCTCAAATATGTTTCTTCTCTTTCTTTGTGTTCTCTGCTATTGTATTTGGTTTACCGTTGCTGTGAGGACCGGTTTCTATCACAGTATTAGAACTAACACTCCATCTTTTCATTTTTACCTTATCCATTATCATTGAAGTTTATTCTTACTTGTCCCGTTTATCAATTTTTACAACTTTTCCTTAACTTTTCAGTTTTCATCATGTCAAAAACGCAAGTATCCTACTTTTTTTGTCCACTCTTTCCATTTCCTTCTGTTTCATCTTCTCTTTCACTCTTTCAGTGTTTCTATACTGTTTACTCTTAGTTTGCATGAAAAAACTATTGGAGAGTAAAAGAGAAAGGATGGAGTATATGCATTGCTTTGAAATACTCTCTCGCTGTCCAGTTATAGAATTACTTTTCATCCCAAAAAAGAATATTTCTTCGTTTTCATGACTCCATTCCTTTTAGCAGTTGTACCTTGCCTAAATTAAAGAGTTGTAGCTTGACCAAATTTGATTCTTTTTCTTGAGGTGGAGGTAGTACATCAATTACAATTTAACAATTTATTGGTTTAATGCACCAAACCCCCTGGTGATACATAAATTCGGCGCATTAGTCCCTTATGATTTAAAAAACTCTTCAAACCCCATGTGTTAAATTATTCATGTGCAAAACCCACTCTATGAACAAATTTAATTGCCAAATAAAAGAAAAAAGATTAGTATTTTTGTACTACCTCTGTCCCAAAAAACTTTGTCACCTTCAAAACTTTGACCAACAATATATTTTTATTGGAAATTATTTAAAATATAAAAATGATATATTAATAAAATGTTCCTTGTTAAAAGTATTTTTTATAAAAGTACAAAATTTATAACTTTCATAATGCTATATTAATCAAAATTATGGTCCAAGCTTTATGAGATAACAATTTTTTGGGACGGAGGTAGTATAATTAAGAGATCTGGACAAGTTTACTTGCATATTCAGTCATAATATTAAGACATGCAATTTCCAAATCGTTAAATCTGTTCTTGGAGGTGGTTTTGGGCATGAATAATTATAACACAATGCGGTTTAACGCATTTTTTAAATCACATGGGACTAACGTGCCAAATTTATATATCACTAGGGGGTTTGGTGCATTAAATCCAACAATTTATATCATATGCACTTTTATATGAACTTCCATGACCCGGGGGTGTTAAAGGAACAACCTCAATGTTTTTCTTCTTGCATCTTCGAGTGCTCTGGCATATACTATTACTTTGTTCATCCTCTCACGCCCAATTGATTCAACTCGAGTTTGGTTTCTTTTTGAACAAAAACTTGTTTGAGACAGTTTTACATGAATGTGAGACAGACATTTCTTTAATAAAAAATCTCACCTCTACAGCGTATATCGGCAAAAATATAAAATCTATATTCAAATGTATTTCTTTTAGACAACAAACATCTTTGTCACACATTTGTCTCGCCACAGACAGCTTCTCTGAGAAACTTTACTGTAGTTAGACTGCTCATTTTAGTTGATATTAACAACTCTCTTATCTTTTGGGGACTATGGGCTTGGATGTTTTGTTGTATAGACTTCTTTCTCCTATTAATTTCCTGCTTCAATATGTGTACATTTTAAGCTGTTGATGATATAGTGACAGTTTTGAAATTATTATTTGTACATTTGGGACAGACCTCTAAGGAATACTTGGAAAAACAGATCGGTGAGGTGGAGAATAACCTCAAAGAGCTATTACAACAAGATCCTGGTCTTGCTCGTCAGATAATGTCCATGTCCGTGTGATGTCACCTTATTGTGTTTTTGTTGGGCATTATAAGATATTTACAAGTTCCTAGTTGACTCTCTTTAGACTGTATTTGAATTTATCTTTTCACTTTACATTGTGTTTTATTATGACTTGCTCAGTTATGGTAATGTGAAATCCCGTCGAGAAATGGATTGTTCAGCCTCTATGGTCACAAAAATAAAATACTATCAGCTGGTTAGGGTTTTAGAGTTGATGAAATAAAATCTAATGAGCAAAAGATCTGAATTGGTAAAGTCCTTTTTGTACTCCCCGTTAAATTGAATGTATTAAGTTCATCTGAAATATGAAGTAAGAAAGTAAAACTGGTATGATTCAGGTTTGAGGAGCGTAGTCGCGTAGAAGATGAATCGTTCTAAGTTCATATTTGTTACTTTCAAATAAAGATTGACTATTCCATTGTACTGGAAAAGGAAAGTTTGACACTTTCTTAGACAATTAAATAAGGGAAGTTAGCAAAATATTCCTAATGAGATGCAACAATAGGATTTTTTTATTATTCATAGCCTCATAGGAGTATATTATACTTTGACTTTACTTTATTTTAAGGTATAAATAAAAAATGTTAATATGTTATGCAACAATAGTGGTGGACTTGGGTCGGGCCACTCGGCCCGTGGACCGGCCTGGCCCGCTACTGTGCGGGACCGGACCGGTTCTCGGGTCCGGGTCTGGGTCGGGCCTAGGCCCGTGGGGGAGGGTGGGTCCGGGCTCGGGTCTCACATTTGGTGAACCGGCCGGGTCGGGCCCGGGTCCGGGCCAAATTGGTTTTTTTTTTTCTTTCATTTTTTGGGGTTCCACCCGGGTTGGGCTTGATGGTTTTGGGGGGTGGGGGGGGGGGGGGGGGGTGAGGGGGTTAGGAAAGCAAAAAAAAAAAAAAAAACCAAACCAGACGCTCGGACCCGGAGGCTACCAGGGCTGGTCCCGGGTCCACCAATCCTGAATCGCCGGCCCGCCCGGGCCTAAGCCCGACCCGGACCCGGCCTGGGTCCATCACTGTGCAACAACCAAACATTGTCAACTTTGTCTCAACTTTAGATTTTAAAACAAAACAGGAGTTAATAAACTTTGTGCTGATATCCAATAGATATGCGTAGTTGCAACGTCAAACGCAAGCCGTTAAAATTAGTTTTTTTGGTAAACATTTGAAATTGAATAAGAACGAAAAACTTACAAATTAATGAGCAATATTTGTGTATCTAATAAAAATGTAATGAAACTATGAAAGTATTGTTTATATAGCAATACAATATTGAAAGTTGAAATAAGTTGGTGATGGAGCATCCTTTAAATAAATTCTGTATAACTAATGATTTTGAGAATGTGTGATTGTGAGATGCAGCATGCATGCAAATTCTGTGAATTCTTGGAGAAGTCGATTTATTAGCAACAAAATAGGTCATATATTGTGAATGAGGAATAAAAAATTAAAGTTTCTGCAACCGATTCCAAGATCTAGCTATCCCGTTATTATAATATATAAAGTAATTATTATTTTCCTGCCACAACTATATATAAATATACATTCACATTCAATTATGCATGTGCTTAGACTTTGACACACAATTCAAGCTCCAGAAATAAGCTAATCAGGTAAGAGAAGAGTAGGTGCATGCATAAGAAAACTTGTAAATATATAAATATATATAATATAATTAGATGAAATCATGCATCTCATCTTATACTATTTTCTTTTGAAGGTTAGCTTCATTTTCTTCTGCCTTTACGACTCAATTCCTAGATATCTTTTATGACAGTTTCAGTAAATCAAGTAAAGAATAGCTATTACATATTCTTGAAAGTAGTTTACTTTAAGAACAGAGAAGTCTTCTAAATAAGTAAATAATAACTCTTCTTCTATTTGATAAACTATCAAACAATTTTTTTTGTTGATCTCTCACGTATATATATAGATAGATTCATAGATGAAAAATAAGAATTAATTTTGACCATTGATGTGAAAAATAGATGGATGAGATCATTTTTATGTGCAAAACACGAAAACGTTTTTGTAACTATGAGGAACTTTTAACAAAACTAAATGGTTAAAGTGAATCACGACATATAAAAATTGCATTAATTCATTACAGAAGTGTATGAATTCAAAATATTGTACATATACTAAAAATATGTGATTAGATTTTTTAACCATATATCTTACACTTGTATACATACGCACTCCACTTTATAGAAGAAAAAATTGCACATTGGAGTTTCAAATATCTACAATATTGAGACCAACCCGAATTCTTTAATGACAAAAAGTTCTAATTCAACCGGCCAATCGGCCATATATTTTCCATTAATCAAAATTCTAGATTCATTCTCATTATTCATGAGAAAACTTGTTTTAGTTTGAACCCAACTAACATGCATATGCAGTGAAACAAAATGTGGAAGCTAAAGATAGCTGAAGGAAAAGATCCGTTGCTGAGCACAAGCAACAACTTCATTGGAAGGCAACACTGGGAGTTCGATCCCGAGGCCGGAACGCCGGAGGAGAGAGCTGAAGTTGAAAGGCTACGTTCCGAGTTCAAGAGGGACAGATTCAAAAGGCAGCAAAGTTCTGATCTACTAATGCGTTTGCAGGTAAATGTAAATCATCCAATCTACTCCCTCCATCCCAAAAAATTGTTCCCGCATTGACTTGGATCGGAGTTTAAGAAAGTGGGAATAAAGTAGAAATGTATGGTACATTATGGTTGTGTAAGAAAAATGTAAATGAATGTGAGTCACACAAAACTTTCCAAAAGATGAAAGTGGAACAATTTTTTGGGACGACCCAAAAAGGAAACCGGGAACAATTTTTTGGGACGAAGGGAGTATATTTTTTAGTGTCACAGGTCAAAAAGTCTAATTTATATACATAGTAACACAATTTAAGTCTTGAGAGTCACCTTTGGTCAAAATGACAAAGGAAGGCCAGTTAGTCGGGCTCCTTATACATTCTTATAGGGACCCTCCCCCGGACCTGCGTTTTGCGGGAACGCCAATGTGTACCAGGTTACTTTTTTTGATCTAGATTAGTGTCTAATTTATTTACATTTTCTTCTACCCACCTTTTTTTTATTGAACTAAATTCTGTAGGGTGTTTGACAATCAGCGGATGACGGTTAATTGATAGTTGATTGTATCCGTTGATTGATATAAGCAAATTTTATTAGCTGTTTTGATTAGCCGCTATCATTAAACGAATTGAAGTCAACAGTCGAATAACTTGACTCTTTACGTACTATTATTTGTTGTTGCATAGAATGATCATTATAGGTTGACATTTAAATTAAGAACATATATATGCTATAATATATAGTTAGAATTTGATCCAAAAAATGATAAAATAGAAACAATATATATGTAATATGATCATTATTTAAAATGTATTGCAGTTTAAGAAGGAGAATGGATGTGGTTACATTCCAGCCGCCATAAAGATAAAAGACGAAGAGGTTATTAGTGAGCAAGCAATCACAACAACACTTAGAAGAGCATTAACCTTCTACTCAATGCTTCAAGCTAAAGATGGTCATTGGCCCGCAGAGTCCGCAGGCTCATGTTTTTTCCTTCCTCCTTTAGTGAGTTCAAATATCATAATATATGGTTACATACATACAATAGAACCATTGCATTCTTGGCATACTGGCTGTGTACACATGCATTTTGCCATAAAATCCCACCCCTTTTCAAATGAATTGCATGTGAATACAGGCAATTATGAGAGTTGTGTACATTTTGTACTAATTTTATGTACACCTGGTATTTTTGTATAGAATATGTTACTTCCCACCAATAGGAGTACGTTTCTATGGTGTTTCATGTCTCCAATTACGTTCGTATCACGTAGGCAACCGCCGTACAATCCAACGCAATTCATTCAGGAAACTGGGAGAGTATATTAAGAAAAGAGTATTAACCTCGGATAGAGTATATTAAGACTAATTAAACCCCAATCAATTTAGGGAAATCATATTATTATGATTCATGCAGGTTCTGGCATTGTATGTGACTGGAGCAATGAATAGAGTATTAACCTTGGAGCACAGAAAAGAGATGATTCGCTATTTGTACAATCATCAGGTAGCTATATACTTCGTACTTCGTATGTGCTAAACCATGTTGAAGTTTAATTATATCTTATCAAATTATGTTGCACCAATCATATATCAATCTATAAATAATGTAATTAGAAATTGTCCTATATGTGAGTAAAACATAGCTAGACATTTCTTTTTTCAATAAATGGGACTGCAAATGGCAGTATCAAACTATGATCTCTATTGAAGTCCTACACTGATAAATTAAGAAGTAATAAAATGCTATATTAAAATCTTGAGCTACTTCTCCTTTCAATGTTGATTTTTAGAATGGAATCTCAAATCTTATAAATTAACAATCTCATATAATAATTCGATTACAAAATTATCGTATTTTCTCCTATTTACAAAGGAAAATTACTCTTATTTATAGAGAAAACCACACGTTTTGCTCCCTTTGTATAAAAGAGTTTAGATAATTTTATTGATCATGCTAACTTTGTATGACGAAACACCCATTCTTCATCAATAGTGGTGTGAAAGCCTATTATTGCATCAAACTACCATTTGATGATGATAATTAAGTCTCAATTCAAATTGTCACACATACTACAAAACTGGTTTGCTCGCTACACATTATTTTTCAAAGTTGATGATCGCAAAAAAAAATAACTTTCCCCACTTTTTATTTACTAAAATAATGCTCTAACAAATTAAATATTCTACACGTATTATTATGTTTTATTTTGTAATTATAAGAATGAAGATGGAGGTTGGGGGCTACACATTGAGGGTAATAGCACCATGTTTGGTTCTGGAATAAGTTACGTGGCTCTAAGATTGCTAGGGGAAGGGCCAGAGGATGGAGAAGATATGGCAATGGCTAGAGGAAGGAAGTGGATTCTTGACCATGGTGGTGTCATCAACATTCCTTCTTGGGGCAAATTCTGGTTATGTGTGAGCACCTATCTATATCATCTTTTTTAGTTGGAAAAACTATTAATTTGATCCTTGTACTATCACGAAAATGTTAATTAAGTTCACGTACTTTTTAAAAAATCAATCAAATCTCTGAACTTTGAAAAAAAAGGTTCAATTGAATTCATTAGCAGGTTACCCATCACATCACCAATTGACCCGTTGACGTGGCACACATGTGGCAGTCCATCAGCATTGACTTTGCTGACGTGGCACACACGTGGAAGCCCAACCAGCCATATCTCAGTGACGTGGCACACATGGGACCATCACATATGTGCCAACTAAGCAGTTGACCTATTGACATGATAAGCAACCTGCTAATTGTCTCAATTGAACGTCTTTGCAAAGTTCAGGGATTCAATTATTTCTTTTAAAGTAAGAGGACCTAATTAACGTTTACGTGATAGTACGAGGACCGAACTGACAATTTTCCTTTCTGATTTTATCATTGTTGTTTGTTATTATTATGATTATTACTATCATCCTCTAATTTTATGTGTCGTACTTTGATTTGAAACAACTATTTATAAAGTGGTTTAAAAAGTAAGTTTGTGATTGAGATTTGAATATAATAGAATGAAATGTTGTAGATCTCATATTTTTTTCAAAATAAGTAATGTGGCACTTACTGTGACAACCCGAAAAGAGAAATAGGACAAGTAAGATAGAATGGATGGAGTGTTAGTTTAATATTTTTTATTAATTAAATTATTATTGTCATATATCATTATACTTATTGTTGTGTTATAGGTACTGGGGATATACGAGTGGGATGGTTGTAATCCATTACCTCCAGAAATGTTGCTTCTTCCCAAAATTTTCCCTATCCACCCAGGTAATTAAGATAAACAATCCACAATGTAATTTCTTCAACCAATGATAGTGACTCCTGAGCCAATCGTCACTAATTAAGAAATACTCCTTTTTTTGTTCCAAACTTAATAATTTGTGTGCGTATTTATGTTATTAGGAAATTTTATGTCATATAGCCGCCTCACATTCATTCCGATGGCGTATTTATACGGAAAGAGGTTCGTGGGGCCGGAAACGGAAGTGGTTCGCTCTCTAAGGCAAGAAATCTATACTCATCCCTACCACCGGATTCATTGGAATAGCCTCCGTTTCCTCTGTGCTAAGGTACATTATGTGATTAACTTGCTCATATCTCATGCATCGTAATGCTCACAAATAATAGTGACAATAATTACATACCGAGTACTACTCATATACTACTCCATAATACTACGTACGATAGTATATGATATCATCTCTTACTACTACATTTTTTCATTATAATTATTATCCCAATGCGGTAAAGACTATCTCACCTTAGCTACGATAGGATAAGGAGGAGTCGGATGTATGCAGTCGACAGTCTTACTCCTGCACTAAAGCACAAATAGACTGTTTTTGAATGACTCATAGACTCAGGGGTGGAGACAAGGGGAGGTTGGCGGTGGCCTCGGCCCCTGCAAGGAAAAAATTTGTGATGTATATATATAAATATTTATAAGTAGTAAAAAATATATTGAAAATTTAAGTTTTGGTCCTTGCTATATAAATTCCTTAAGCCCCGGCCCCTTTAATCTGTCAATCCTGACTCCGCCACTACCCATAGTGAAAATCACGTCCAAAATTGTATGGACTAACTGCTGTTTCATTACAAAAAAGCATCTATAGCCAGTTTAGTGAGCCATTTTGATTTATTTTCAAGCCACAAAATAGTGAATATTTGGCTCCATTGCAAATGATGGAAAATAACTTTTACCACTACGTATTAAACAATATTTCTATAAAAATTTAAAACATCACTTTTTAAAATAGAAGCATTTTGACAAAAAAATAGAAGCAACCACGGATATTCTCTTAGTAGTTAGTACGTACGTATTGCTACCGCCTACCAGGCCACCGGCTGTGGTAATCCTCCACGGGTTATACTCTAAATTTGTCTATTTCGAAAGATATAATAACATAAATATACGAATATATATAGTATTACGTAAATGACTAAAATAACCATTATGAATAAAAATGTGATACTTTATAAAAAGTGACTACTATGTATATTGTTAATTTCTAGTTACACAATCGTGATCATGAAGTTTTTCATACAGAATTGTCTATAATAGTATCATTTTAATAATATTTTATGAATACTCCATATAATGTTTCAATCTAAGAATATTTTTAATTGGATTGAATTTTTTTATCTGCTTTGGTTTGATCTTAATTATATGGTCTATTTAAATCTGGTTCAAATTAATCTTATCTATATGTGATCTATGTGTACTTTACTTAAAACCAATGAACTCTTAAAACGTTATTCTTTCTGCAACAAAAAACATTTCACATTACAAGCGTACTTTTGTTCTTTAAGTAAGACTAAATAGATAAGTAAATCATACGTAGTATGCCAGTATGGTATGAATATAAACTTAAGGGCCGTTCTTGGTGTACACAAGATTACACAAAATGCGTACATTGCTTGTGTACATGCAATTAGGGGGATTTTAGTATCCAATATAATTATGCTCCTTTTTAAACGAATTGTCTGTCTACACAGACAAGTAGAATGATTTTGTGTATAATTTGTGTACAACTCATATATACTAAGCATTTTTCTAAACTTTACATCTTATTCATGTTTTATTATACTTATCTTACCATTTTAAGTACCTTCTTTTGACAACTATTTTTTAGGAAGATGTTAATTACCCGCCCAACGCCATGCCGTATTATATGTACGGGTTTATACAAAACTTTGTTGAGCCTGTCCTAAAGATTTGGCCATTTTCAATTGTGAGAGAGAAAGCCCTCAAGCGGGCATTGGACCAGATTCATTATGAGGACCAATGCTCCCATTACATGGACATTGGCATTACCGTAAAGGTAACCAAATTTAAATTACTCCAAAGTTTATTACCATATTTTTTATTTTGTGTATCATACGTAGAAATTAAATAATATTATGCGCTAGTGTTTAATTACCTTTGAAGGCAGCGGCCATTGTTGCTTGTTGGGATGAGGGTCCAAATTCAGAGGCATTCAGAAGGCATCTTGCTCGTCTCCCGGATTACTTCTGGGTAGCAGAAGATGGCATGAAAGTGCAGGTTATAAACTACTTGTGTTTATGGAGTGTTTGGAATTGATTCTACTTTCACTTTTTTCTAACACCAGAAGCAGAATCAGAATCACTTTTTCGGAAGTAGGTCTAGTTTGGATTCTAAGAAACTGCTTCTATGAACAATTTAGAGCACATAAAGTATTTCTACACTTTCATTCAAACACTCCAATAGATGTTTTTACTCGCTTAGCATAAACAATTCTAAAAAAATAAATCCAAACACCTCCTATGTGCAAAATCTATAATGTGTTCAAATTGAATTAGATCAAGTTTATGTGTTAATTTTTTTTCCACCCACATCAATTTTTTTTGTTACTCATGTCACTACTATATGTTTAATTTGGATTGATGATGCAGAGCTTTGGAAGCCAAACGTGGGACTTATCTTTCAGCATTCGAGCCATTCTTTCAAGTAATCTATATGAAGAGTATTGGCCAACACTTAAAAAGGCACACCAATTCTTAAAAGCTTCTCAGGTTCAAATTATATTTAATGAACTCTTTTACTTTTGTGCGTTATTACTTCATCATAATTATACCAAATAATGTTTTATAAAATGCCACTTTTTCGTCCAATATCATTATTTTAGTCCTTGTTTATAAAAATTGCTAACTCGGGATTTCAATTAGTGCTATCAATGGATCGATCCATGTGACGTGCACTTTGTCGTTAGTGCACTCAAAATAAATTCAATAATACTAGCACTAATACGTAGTATAGTGAAGTAGAGTTCGTATCCACAGGGAAAAGAATAATTCTCTTTTTATAGAACTAGTAAATAAAGGGGTTTTTTTGATTGAGTGATTTAATTAAAATAAAACCCGAAGATGAACGAGTTAAATGTGATTTAATTCAAAGATAAAATGGACTTGACATTGCTACTTTCCACTTGTTGATATATTTTAGTCGATCATAGTTATATCTATAACTTATCCCCTCTCAAATACTCAATCGAGGAGTATATCCAATTCATCGAGAGTAGTTATTAACAACGACCGTTCATTAATAACCCTTACTATTAGTCAAGTATAGAACACCGCCATATACCGACTTAATAGTAGCATTTAATCTCTTAACTCCTTGATGAAATCAATTGAGATTGATAACCTCAACCCAACGGTTTCGGTTTAACCAACAAAATTATTCCCTCTTAAGTTTATTAACCACGACCGTGCATTAATAAACCGAAGTTACTTACTTGTGAAACCATCAACGATTAACCATCGGTTCGTTGATCGTTTCTAGTAGTAATTAATGTCGAGATGTTAACTAATTGTCATCTTAGCAACACTCCCCAACATTAATATAGACATAGATTAAGGGAAGAATTAATATTCAAGGAAGAAGATTAAATATGAATAATCCTACTATAACTAAAGTCAAGATGTTATCTAATTGTCATCTTAGCAACACTCCCCAACATTAATATATAGAGGAAGAAAATAAATACTACTATAACTAATGTCGAGATGTTTAACTAATTGTCATCTTAGCAACACTCCCCAACATTAATATATAGATAGATTAAGAGAATAATTAATATTCAAGGGAAGAAGTTAAGAAAAATAACTCACAACTTTAATAATCAACAAGCTTCAAGAGCAACACCAAGAAATGGAAGTTTAGCTCCTCATTTGGAGACTAAACATGTTAAAAGAAATATAGAGAAATTCTATTCTAAACTGAGCTTAAGAGTATAAAGGAATTGGTGAATCTATTGTGAAGGAAAGGAGGTGTATTTATAGGCTTTTTTGGGGTGCAGGTCGGGTACTCGATCGAGTATATATATGTACTCGATCGAGTAGCTGTAGAAAGCTGAATTCGATCCATACTCGATCGAATTTAGAGTAGGAATTCATAGCTATACCCGATCGAGTATGTCGGTGTACCCGATCGGGTATAGACACTCGATCGTGGGGAAATCTTCTTCTGCATGTTCCTTTGTTTTCGGATCCGATCCCGATTTGAAATTTCAACCAGATACTCGATCGAGGTATAGGAGATACTCGACCGAATATTGACAAAAATCAGGATTTCCTACTTTTGTCTTGTGATTTTGCACCTTCCTTCCACTTTTGGGGGTTCACCAACTGTCCCTTGAGTGATGTTAGACCCTGTTTGAAACTCAGAATAAACCTAATCTAAACAATTTACAAGAATTTAACAAACTAAACTATTACACCCGAAAGTGTGTAATCTTCCGAAATACTAAACAAACCAAAACTAACTAAAAATGTAAATAAACACACGGAAATTACAAACGTATCAACTCCCCACACTTAGGTCGTTTACTCGTCCTCAGAGTAAAGTTTCAATGTTTACAAGGTGTAAAGATTCCCAGAGGTTTCAATAGTTTTGAACAAGATAAAAAACACAAAGACCACCAAGGATAAAATATGAGTTTTAAGCTCCAAATTACAAATGATCATCTTGGGTTTTATGGTCTTGCTAGGTGTTCATCCTTCTCTTCCCCTTCTCTTCTTCTTCTTCTTCTTCTTCTTCTTCTCTCTTCTTCTTCTTCTTCTTCTTCTTCCTTCTTCTTCTTCTAGCTTCTTCTTCTTCTTCTTCTTCTTCTTTCTTCTTCTCTCTCTTCTCTCTTCTTCTTCTTCTTCTTCTTCTTCTTCTTACTTCTTCTTCTTCTTCTTCTTCTCTTCTTCATTCTTCTTCTTTTTCTTCTTCTTCTTCTCTTCTCTTCTTCTTCGTCTTTCTTCTTCTTCTTCTTCTTCTTCTTCTTCTTCTTCTTCTTCTTCTTCTTCTTCTTCTTCTTCTTCTTCTTCTTCTTCTTCTTCTTCTTCTTCTTCTTCTTCTTCTTCTCTTCTTCTTCTTCTTCTTCCTTCTTCTTCTTCTTCTTCTTCTTCTTCTTCTTCTTCTTCTTCTTCTTCTTCTTCTTCTTCTTCTTCTTCTTCTTCTTCTTCTTCTTCTTCTTCTCTTCTTCTTCTTCTTCTTCTTCTTCTTCTTCTTCTTCTTCTTCTTCTTCTTCTTCTTCTTCTTCTTCTTCTTCTTCTTCTTCTTTTCTTCTCTTCTTCTTCTTCTTCTCTTCTTCTTTCTTCTTCTTCTTCTTCTTCTTCTTCTTCTCTTCTTCTTCTTCTTCTTCCTTCTTCTTCTTCTTCTTCTTCTTCTTCTTCTTCTTCTTCTTCTTCTTCTTCTTCTTCTTCTTCTTCTTCTTCTTCTTCTTCTTCTTCTTCCTTCTTCTCTCTTCTTCTTCTTCTTCTTCTTCTTCTTCTTCTTCTTCTTCTTCTTCTTCCTCCTCCTCCTCCTCCTCCAAGGGATCAAATGAGTTCCTGCACACAGAAAAATATTCCTCTCATATCTCTCATTTTGCCTAGGAGCCTTTTCAGGTTTTCATCCTAGCATCTCTTTGTGTTTTTCCATCCTCCCTAACTCACTCATTTTTTTTTCTTAAAAAGCCATTTTTGCTTAGATTGCCCATTTTTTTTTGGGTTTTCAACCTAACTAGCATTTCCTTTCTTCTTTTATTTCCTTTTTTTTTATTTTACAAAGAGTAAAAGAAAAGTCATGCATAATAAAGAGTAGAAAAATAGCATTACATACCATGAGGAGTCTCCCCCCTTCCCAGTCCAAGCACTGTCCCTAGTGCCCGCCTTCGCCGCCATAGTATCCGCCTCCAAAACCTCCTCCAAAACTCCCGTCGCCCATGTGAGTATCTCCGTCATCCCCGCCATCAAAATCGCCACCCCCCGGAGCTCGATCTTCCAAAGTTGCCCCATTGAGTGGGGTCATTACCAAGAGGGTGGTGGTGGTGGTTGAGCCATGGTGTGGAATTGGCCTTGATGAGCCATGTAAGAATACATAGGTCCATAGAACCTACGTTGATCTTCTTCATATCTGCGGTTGTCTTCGGCCCGTTGCTCCTCTAGTCTTTGAAATCCCCGCCCTTTGTTCCTCCCGATATTTACCAACTTCATTGGTAACTTTGTTGAGTCCTTCAGCAGTTGTTGGAAGTAATCGGGAGGTGGGGGAGCTTGGTTCGGTTCGGGCAGGTAGTGATGTGCAACCTCGGGTTCTTGGTACTCGGGTTGAGGTTCTTGGTCGGGTTGGTCATTCTGGGAGATCTTGGGCTTGTGGTTCTTGGAGATGTGGTGGAAGGGCATGAGGGAATAGGAAATGGGGCACGTCGAACTCTGGCCTGTAGATGATTTTGGGGGTGTCGGGGTTTGGCATGAGGAAGTATTGGACCGGTTGGACGTGTATGATCCAGTTGTACATGTGTTTCGGTTGGTCCCCAATGTACACTGTATGAGAAAAAGAGGTGCAGCCTGATCGGCCTAACCAACCTATGTCCATCAAACAATAGTCGGGTATAGGGGAGTTATCCGTATACCCGCATTTACCGGCCAAGTGCATAATTACCCCCTCCCAAAACAATGGCTCCTTTGGCTACGCTTTCTTTTTTCAGATGTGCCCACATGAGATTGCACAGATTAAAGTCTACGTGACGACGGAATAGGGCCACGGACATCAAACCAAACGTCCCCGATTCTAGTGTGATGGTTGTTGGGACGGCCAAGCAAGCAATTGGCTAGGAATTTCAAGAACAAACCGGAAGACGGGGTGTTGGACATGACTAATATACATTTGGGAGGAACTAAATTTCACTTCCCCGGTCATCTTTGTCCATAGGGAGTGCCCAAAGATGGTGTTATCCGAGATGGATCTCTCGTAGGGTACCGGGATGCCAAAATGTTCAGCAAACTCGAGTTTCGTTATTGAATAGTTTCGGTTAAACAGACGAAACTCGAGTCTATCATCCCCTAAAATCCGCCTCATCACTTTCCAAACTTCACCGAACTCAAGAATTCGTAGATAATTCGTTCATTAGAATTGTATTTTCATATTGAAAATACGTCCATATCTAATGTATGAAAGAATTTTCTACAACTCTTATAGACTCCTAATTCACGTAGAGCATCATGGCATAGAAAACGGGAAGGTTTTACTTGCCTTTTTGTTGTTGATAGGAGTCTAGTTCGGTGTTCCGGCGTCGACGGGAATGATGTCTTCAAAGCCGGGATGGGTGCTATGGTGCTTGAGCTCTCTCCCCCTATTCTTCCTTGGAGCTATTTGTGAAGCTTTTGAGCTTGAAGAGGCAAAAATTCGAATGGGGGTAGGGTTTTTGGGATTTGGTGGAA